AGGTTTGTGTGAAGGCGCCGGGTGGGCCCCCCAGCCGCAGTTTGGCCACCCCTGCCTTATACTTCCAGAGGGCAGCCTTGTTGGCCTGCAGTAGAACAGCTGGATTTGATGCCCAGCAGTACCTTAGAAGGAGAAGAAGAGATTGGATTTATACCCCATGGCCCTTCACTACCCAAGGGAGTCTCAGAGCGGCTTACAAACTCCTTTCCCTTCCCCTCCCCACAACAGGCACACCCTGGGAGGTAGGCGGGGCTGAGAGAGCTCTGACAGAACTGCCCTTGAGAGAACAGCTCTGAAAGGACTTGTGACTCACCCAAGGTCACACCAGCAGCTGCACGTGGAGGAGTGGGGGATCCAACCCGGTTCTCCCAGATCAGAGTCTGCGCTCTTAGCCAAACGTAGAGACCAACAGGATTCTCGGGGCACAAACTTTCGAGAGCCAGAGTCCCCTTTGGAAGACCGACTTGCATTAGAAGTTTCCCTTACTGCTAATTAAGGGAGAGTTGAGCATAGGAAGCTGCCTTTTCCAGGGGTCCATCTATCCGAGTGTGGTCGACTCTGGGAACAGCCGTTTAGGGCCTCGGGCAGAAGCCAAGGTCAGGTTTCTGGAAAGTCCCTATGAATGTCAGGCGGGGGTGGGATGGAAGTATCTTAGCTGGAGGGAGGGAAGCTCAGGGTCAAGGTATGACGTGTGTTCAGTTAAGGAGAGACCATGGAAGGGGGTTGCTTCTCCTCTGGGCTTGTACGCCAGTTCCCACGAAATGCTGCCCAGGATCTTGAAAGCCTCTTGCCGACACTGGGGCGTCAACTGTAATCTGCGGGAAGCCTTTCTTTGGCGAAACGGTTCCCGGGAACACGGCGGCTTCTGCATGTCCAGCTTCTCATTATAACGTGGTTCCGTTGCACCGCCTAGCACCGGACTTTCACCCCCGAGCTGTCTCCAGGCCAGCTGTGATGAGGTCACGGCTGCTGTAGCCACAGCTGCAGCTGCTCTTTCTGTCAGAGGGGGGCTGTGAATGGGCGACGGATGCCGTGTATTTCGGCTCTCTTCCTACTGTGTGTGTTAAAAACCCAGGCACCCCTGTAGAGACAGTTGTCGCTCTTGTTCAGCACTCTATGCTGTAGTTAAGAAATAGTGTAGGAAATTTATCCTGCCCACCCCACCACACCCCTGAATTGCGGCGTGGCAAGGGAGGAGCCCCACAGGTCACCTTTATTCCCCCACCCCATAGCACGTGCCTCCCTTTCAAGCATGAGAGCCAACATGTCTGTTGTAGTGGTTGGAGCGTTGGGCTTGGATCTGGGAGACCCAGGTTTGAATCCCCACGCTGCCACGGAAGCTCGCTGGGCGACCTTGGGCCAGTCTCACACTCGCAGCCTCACCTGCTTGGCAGGCTTGTTGTCGCGAGGATAACCGGAGGGGAGTGACGTAAGACACCTTGGGTCCCTAGCGGGGAGCAGAGCGGGACATAAATGCAGTAAATAAGCACGTCTGCTGACCGTCCCCAGACGCTTGGTGGCAGGAAAGGTCTTCAGATCGCGTTCAAGGGACCGCTTTAGCAGTATTGCTTCAGGTTTCTGTATCTGGGTGGCTGAACTGTGTTAACTCATCCGGCGTCTGTAGACTGTGTGTGGACTTGTGTGTTAAGCAATAGCGTGAGAATCCAAGAATGTTCTTGCGTCCATTTTCCCTCCAGTATGGTGTCTCGTTTTTGTAAACTGGCTCTTCTTCTCTCCCAAGTCCCAGCGACCAAGCTCAACACGCTGAGCAAAGCCAACCTGGGCCAGAGTGTGACCAAATACGACCTCCTGGTCTGGTTTGAGATCAGCGAATTGGAGCCCACCGGAGAGTGAGTGTCGCTTGCCTGGTGCCGTGTTTTGCTGCGTCCAAATGGCCGGCGCGACGGCCTGACCTGCTGACCGGGAGGTGGGAGGCCGGGATTTCAGGGGAAGGCAATAAGGAAATAAAAATGGAATGTATTGTTAGGACTTCAGCTAGTTCACTTCTGAAGCTTCCAGCCCTTGCTCTTGCAAGAACGTGCTTGATTGTGCCCAGGGAAATGCCTGCTAAAATGCTGGAAAGGTGGCTGGACGAGATATTTAGAGGTGAGGGGCAGTGTTCCCTCAGAGCTGAGTTAGTGTGAGCCAGTTCACAGTTTTTTAGCCTCTGGCTCACACATTTCTGTCTTAGCTCAGGAAGGAGGGCTCCAGAGCAAACTGATTTGTGCAGCAGCCAAATCGCTCCCTCACAACTTTAATGCCAGGAGCTCACTAAGTAGAACTTTTGCTCACAAGACTACTCCACAGCTTAGAGGGAACATTGGTGAGGGGCAGGGCTTCAGTGACCTCCCCAGGACTAGCAAAACTAGAACAAATTACAGAAACTGAAATTCCTGTGTTTCCTTTCCTGCAGATACATTCCTGCCATCGTTGACCATACGGGGGGGCAACCCTGCCAGGGGACCTTCCTGCTTCACCAGGTAGTCTTGCCTTGAATTGGAGTTGGGCAAAATGCCACCTGCTGTTTCTGTAAGCAAAAAAGATTGTCCGTTTCGGTGGATTGAGATAAACAGTCCACAAGAATAACACGCAATCCCAAGACAGTCTGGTATGAAAAAATATACACAGACGTGTGTTGAATGCCCACAAAATAATACAATGACCAAAGAGACTAGATTAAAGCCATAACATCAATTAGTGTCTGGTAATGAAAAACAACCACTTATTCCTTCACAGAAAAAATACAAAGGTCAATAAAGTTACACATAGCAGTCTGCTCCAAACTGCATGCTTGAAAATAAGTGAAGAGACCTTGCCCGAGTAGATTAACAGAAAAGTAAATCAATGAACTCCTGCTAACCTAGCAGTTCGAAAGCAAGACATTGCAAGTAGATAAATAGGTACCACTTCGGTGGGAAGGTCACAGCGTTCCGTGCGCCTTGGTGTTTAGTCATGCCGGCCACATGACCACGGAAACGTCTTCGGACAGCGCTGGCTCTACGGCTTTGAAACAGAGATGAGCACCGCAACCCTAGAGTCGGATTCGACTGGCTTTCGAGCAAGGGAACCTTCGGACAAGGTCTCCTCACTTATTTTCAAGCATGCTGCTATGTGTAACTTTATTGACCTTTGTATTTTTCCTATGAAGGAATAAGTGGTTGTTTTTCATTACCAGACACTAAATGATGTTATGGCTTTAATCTAGTCTCTTTGGTCATTGTATTATTCTGTGGGCATTCAGCACACGTCTGTGTATATTTTTTTCATACCAGCTGGATCGAGATAGCCAGATCTTTTCTGCTGCCGCCGCCGTGGTCACAGCCTAGCAAGTCAGTCTTTGCATCTTGTCTCGCACTTGGATTCCATTGACTCCAGCACAAGCTGGAACCCTTAAGGGGAATACACAGAGAACCAGGAGACTTTGAGGGACGGGGAGAGCCAAGTTGATAAATATTGGTCTTTCTGTTTTCGCTTCCGTCGTGGACGGGCATGGTATCTTTCCCTGCTGAGATTTGGGATAAAATCTGTTTTATGGAGGGGGTGGAAGGTTTCCTGTAACGATTCTGTCCCGATTCTTTTGGGAAGTTACTTGATAAAATGAGGAGGATGTCTTAAAAGGGTGTGCTTTGGTGAATGGGCTGTGGCTCAGGGGTAGAATATCTGCTTTACATGCAGAAGTTCCCAGGTTTATTCCCCAGCATCTCCAGTTAGGAGGATCAGGCGGTAGGTGATAGGAGCGATCCCTGCCTGAGACCCCGGAGAGCCCCTGCTGGTCAGAATAGGACTCTGATGAAGGCTCTGACTCAGTACAGTAGTAAGTTTTATTCACGGTCATTGACCAGCACATAGTACACCCAACGGCATATCTTGCAACATCAATGATACATATGTCATTAAAATAGAAGAAGAATTTTAAAAGCAGGTTTTTAAAAAGGAAAAAAAACCCATAAAAACCATGATAATTAAAATTAATAAAACTAAATCTTAATTCTCGGGGGGAGATCCTACACCAAGCTAAGATTTGAGTGAACATCGCAGTGTTCATGTTGCACACAGCTATAACATGCCTTCATCCCCCCCCACACACACACACACACCCTCCCAAGATTGTGGATTTATCTAGCATGTACTCAGGCTGACCATTCTCATGAGACTGATGACATTTGAATGAAACTGAACCTTTTTACTAAACTAGAGTCGTTTTACTAAACCAGTGATATCCAAGATGTTTGTTTTGAAGCATTCATCCTCAACTTTCTCAAGTGCTGTTCATAAAAACAAATCTCACTTTAAAAATCACATGATACAAAAGTAAACAAAACAGAACCAGTTAAATCCACTACAAACAAAACCCATCATATCAAAACTAAAAACAGCAGGACAAAATTGCTACAGTCATCAACAAATACTCAACAGATCTTAAGATGAACACGGCCAGAAGTACACCCCAAAAGAAGGAGACAGAGATGCATTGCCACCAGCAAGAAGGCCTTGTAGCACAGGTCTGCCGGGGTAGACTGGGAGGACAAAACGGCCAGGAAAGGACCCCACCCATAGACTACCCCACCCACTCCTAGGGTTGCCAACCTCCAGGTGGGTCCTGAAGATCACCCAGGATCACATCTTCACAGTACAGTCATTTGTTGGACAAAAGGGCTGTTTTGGAGGGTCAGCTCAGCTGTACTGTACCCACTGAGGTCTGTCTCCTTCCCAAACGCCACTGTCCCTAGGTTCCACCCCCCAAACCTTCAGGGATATTCCAACCCAGATTTGGCAACCCACCCCACCCACAAATAGGGTTGCCCAGAAATCTCCCACTATTAACATTTGATTCTAGCTGTAGCTGAAGAAGTGAGAAGTGACTCACAAAAGCTAAACCCCTGCCACCAATTTCGTTAGTCTTTAAGGTGCTACTGGACTCTCTCGCTCTTTTCAATTGATCTCCAGAGGACAGAGATCAGATCCCCTGGAGGAAATGGCTGTTTTGGAGGGCATACTCTCTGATCCTGCACCCTGCGAAGGTCCCTCTTCCACCCCCCACGTCTCCAGGTACTTCCCCATCCAGAGCAGCCACCCCTACCCCCAAAAGGGAGAAAGAGCCTGCCCTGCCAGCCCCACCAATCTTGGCCAGCAGGCATCACCTGGGTTTGGTGAGGCTGCATGCTTCCTTCCCTACCTGGCACCTGCCCCCACTTGCTCCAAGGGACACCCTCTTGCTTGGGGCCAGAATAGCCCCAGATCAGGCAGCCCCTCGGGCCATCGACCCACCAGGCCTTTGTACAGTGGTCTTGAGGGCCAATCTGGCCCTGCATGCCTGCCCAAACCTCTGATGGTAGTACAACACGAATGAAGACCTTTCCGAGCCAACTCAAAGTTGCAGGTAGGTTCATCCAGCAGTTAATGCCATGCAATGGTTTCAATGTTCTATTAGAACACGGGAGCCTAAGGTTCAAATCCACGTTCTGTCTTGAATCCTGTTGGGTGACCCTGGGCCGGCCAAGGTCTCAGCTTAACTTACCTCACAGGGGAAGGAAGAACCACACATGCTAAAAATGTACTGGGTCTGTGTTGGAGAAGACTGCTGCTGTTGGAGGATTCTCGTGCAGTTCGAAGATTTGGGTTACCAACCGTACATCATCAGAAAAGAATCGCAACCACTACTGGATATTGCAGCACACTCAAAATGAGTTAAGAGGCAGAAACCAGAATCTCAGATATATGTTTAGACTTCATCTGGGCTTCTATATTCTGTCATTTTAGCTGCTGATGGCACCGATTGAACCTGGGACCTTCGGCGTTTCAACCAGATGCTTTACCACTGAGCCACAGCCCCTTTGAAGGATGGAGATGTAGCAGAAAGTAAAGGGTGTGTGTATTAAGGGTGCCTTTCATCATATTGAAAGCGTACACATTTTTAAAAATGGAGCACTTGTTCCATGCATGCTTTGCAATAGGTAATCATTAATGCTCAAGCAGGTATTCATCATTATGGAGAAAGAGGAGATTGGATTTATACCCTTCCCTTCACTACCTGAGTCTCAGAGCAGTTTACAATCACCTTTCCCTTCCCCTCCCCACAACAGACACCCCATGAGGTAGTTGGGGCTCAGAGAGCTCTTTCGAGGACTGCTCTTGAGAGAACAGCTCTGAGAGAACTTGTGACTGACCCAAGGTCAGACCAGCAGCTGCATGTGGAAGAGTGGGGAATCAAACCTGGTTCTCCCAGATTAGAGTTCACGCACTTAACCACTACACCAAACTGGCTGTCTTCTGGAAGTCCAAGGGGTTGAGATACTACCTGCTAGCCCCAGTTCCAGCTTCCACACATACAAGGCTTGATCCTTACAAAGGCCTAAATGCATCTGAGTTCATCCCCTGTATAGATATGACCTCAAATATGTGGAGACCTCAAACATGTAGAGACTCACACATTACAAAGTACTTGTGCCAAACGTGGGTCCTGCTAGGTTTGCCAGCTCCAGGTTGGGAAATCCCGGGGGATTTGGGGGCAGAGCCTTGGAAAGGCAGGATTTGCTGTTTTCTCCAGGAGAACTGATCTCTGTAATCTGAAGATCTGTTGCAATTTCAGGAGCTCTGCAGGCCTGACCTGGAGGTTGGCAGCCCTAGGACTCCGACCAACTGCTATCCTCTTGAGAGTTTCATGCTTGCAA